AGTACCCATATGCATGTTCACACAGCCCTGGAACCGCGCATGTTAAACCTGGTGAAAAATTAGACTTGACCATAAAAGCTCTCACGTGACCGTTCAATATTTTTGCTCCGTTCACACGGAACCTTGGAAAGATAAGCATCTAAATTATTGCATGGTTAATTGGTTCCACGCGAATAGAACACCTGAACACTTAGATTAAAAAATTCATCCAGTGCCGTGTGAACTTAGGGGCTGAACAAGTTCATTCCATCTTCATGTATTTCTTTACATCGGATCACATGAACTGTATCTGGTTGCTTCATTCCATGGTCAGGTCATTCCAAGCTGGATTATTCCACAATATAGTCAGAACTTTTCACGAGTCTTTAAGCCACGATCAAAACAAGGGTATTACTTATGTATATACCTCATTATTTAAGCCATAAGCCAAAAAAAGCGTGCTTCACATTGAGTTTTACAAGTTTTACTCTAGGATGACATCATTCCAGTTTTTATTCCGAATGAAATTCCCATTGTGGTACAAAATTTTATTCCAATATCATATTTACTGAAAGAGAAATCGCAAATTCTATAGTCTGGTGTGAGTGGAACATGCATATATGACCTGGCACAAAATTCATGCAAGCCAGAACACCTTAAGGCTCAGCCATTCAGTTTTATTATGTGAATGCAATACAGTCTTCACACTGGTGCAAAATTGATTCCAGAATGAAAGTCATTCTGTATCATATAAACAACCCCATAGCCCAGGTTGAATACTTATTCACCTGAGAACAAATTTTACCAATGACATATCCACTGCAAGCCCATGTCCTGCAGCTTTTGATCAACTGGGGCTAGTTTATTCCAGAAAAACACAGTCTAAAATGTTTTTTTTTTTCTGCCCAAAAAGAGCAAAAAGGGGGACAAGATTGTGATAACAGGATCAGGACCTACTGTAACAAAGACCATCACTTGTGCTGAAATCATCAAAAGAAAAGTTAAAGTAAGTTCTCAAAGAGCAATCACCCTTTATGCTTGAGTAACAAAAAGTATTATAATGATTTGTGCTCCAAGGTAGGCAGGGATCTAGGATAAATACTGAATACAATTTTGAAGGCACAAGCTTCTAGGGCGGTCTGGGAACATGCTCCCCCTGGAAATTTTTTGGATTTTAACTCCCCAAAGTTTTCTTTTTTGGGCTTCTGAGTCATTCAGACAGGATATTGGCCAGTTCCATTCTCCTCGGATGAAGGCTAAGGCCTTGCAAATCAGCAGATGATTTCATCAAGGTCAATTTCCATGTTGAAAGAAAAGGTTATGATAGCCTGCGTGGCAGGCGTTTGAAAGGAAAGAGGTTTTGGGGGGCTAGAGAAACGCAAGGGGCACACAAGGAAGGTGGATGTTTGTATAATGCAAAAAAACAATTCCTATGTAGTCTCCTGGCAGGCATTTCCCTTCCTCTTTCCTCAAACCCCCCTTTCGCACCCAAAACCCACTTTCCCTTCCCTTTCAAACGCCTGCCATGCAGGATGAGGTTATGAGAATCAATGACATAATCACCAAAGGGAAACTGTTTGATATCTCATCAAATTCTCTTAACTAATTTTTCAAAGAAATGGAGCCATATATGGAGATCAGTTCAGAGAAGTTTATAACTTAGTCTTTAGTATGGCTTAAAGGGCTAAGTGTGTCACTCAACATTCTCAACATTTCTCACTCACTCAACATTTCACAAATTTGTAGGTGTTTCCAATATTTCAAGGTGAAAAGTAAAAAAATGCACTTTATTCGAGTGCCAATCAGTATCATGAAAGTACTATTACTGGGGACACTATTTTTACATCATCTTCTTGAAACAGGAGTGCCATTTTATGTAGTCGTTTAAGCCATACGGGCAAAAGTAACACCTTCATTTCTCAGTTATTTTATGACCTTGAGTGTTGGTCCGGCCCTGGAGATCACACCCATGACATCCTACTCTGCAGTCAAGTGCTCCACTGACTGAGCAGAGCAAATTGGTTATATAAACATATCAATTTTGAAAGCCCTGATTTGCACATATTGGACTTAAAAGTCATATTTGATAACTTATAATGATTTATTATACAGTTGAACCTATCCACAATGGCCACCTTGGGGACAGATGAAAGTGACCGTTGTAGAGAGGTTAATAACACAATAGTCAATGTATGGACTGTCCACCAAAAAAGTGGCCATTGTGGAGAGGTGATTAGTGGAGGTTTAACTGTATCAATTATTCATTAATGTTTTTAGGCAGTTCTAGCTACCCTTGAATTTATTTTAAAAAAAAGTTTGTTTAATATGTACTAGGAGATATGTTCATATATACCAGTATTCAATTACAATGCTTACACTGTATCTTTATGATAATATTTCCGTCTTTTTTATTTTAAGGGATTGCATCAACTGAATAAGCTGTTCTATATCAAGTAAGTAATGATCAGTCCTATTTCTCAAAATAAATTTTTAAATCTCTTGGTAAATATTCAGAGTTTCTTACAAAATGTAGGTCACGAGCATAGAAGTCAAACCCATGATATCCTTGATACCTGTCATAAATTTGTCTGAAATACGGCTGAGGGTAAGAGTACCCCCACCTGAGATTTAAGGCACAACCCCACCTCAATGTTTCAGGGTACCCCTCTGGGAGTGGAATAGTACCCAGTAGCCCCTGGTGGATTACCTTTGCCTAGAGAAGAAACATAAGAGCTGGACAGTTTAGATACCGTAAAATTTTGAAAATAAGCCCCTCCAAATATAAACCCCCCAAACTCGTAGTGCAAAAAAACCTCTGTTAAATTGCCCCTCCAAATATAAACCACCCGGGGGCTTAAACTTGGAAAATTGCCCTCAAATACAAAGTAAAACAAAGCAAAAACAGTAAATTTACTTTCAACTATAAGGCTAGCCCAATCAATTTCGAAATGCAAATTTCCCTCTGTAGATAAGCCCCTTCGAATATGAGCCGCTCCAAAACTAAGCCCCTAAAAAATGGCCTTTGAAATGGCCAGGGGCTTATTTTCGGAATTTTACAGTATTTTATAGCTTTAAAAAAGTTTTGTTCTAAAGGGTATACAGGATGACAATTGAAAATAAACAATTGTACACATAGAATTTAAGAATGGTTATGAGTGGGTAAAAGAGGTATTCATGTATTCCAAGTCTAATACTTGTATGAGTTGTTATACATTATGAAAATCAAATAATTATTGTTGTAAACCTAAAAAGTGTTTTTTTATTTTGAGGCAGGATTTAAGCACATGATCTCTCTTTTCCACTGCCATGCATTCATTAAGAGTATTCAAACCCTACCATGAGCCCACCTCTCTACAGCTTCTACTGCAAAACTTTTTATTGTTGATCTCAAACGTCGAAACACAACATTTCTTCACAATAATTAAATTGACTTAGGCCTTGAGTAAAACAATGTCTACAAGTACTGTGTAGAATATACATTTTGTGTTATGTTATTCCTGTACATTTGCATAATTTCTTTTAGAATTGAAGATACATGGGAACCTAAAGAAGAATCACTAGATACGTGAGTATCTGTAATCCTCTAAGGCAGCAATATTCTTCCAGTGCAACTTGTTTACTATTACTGATTACGTCTCCGCAGGTAAAATGAGATGGGTCCAAGAAATATTTTTTCCCAGATTAAATTAAGAGGTCATTTGGAAATGGCAAGAATGATTTCTAAGATAGCTCAGATGAGTGCATTGTGGTACCAAAGTACCCGTGAACATGCTTAATCATTTTACAGAAATCATCTGGTTTGAAAATCTTGTGCACAAGCATTCAACAAATGGCCTCGAGCAAAACAGATCTACCATGAAGTATGGACAGTTTAGTTGAAGATGCAAAAAAGAGTAGAAAAAATGTATTGTTTTCAAACATAAGCCCATTTTGTCTCAAGCTAAACCAAACATTGACCCAATGACCGGAACATGACTGGAAATGTCATGACACTCATTTAAACCGGATGTGACTCTTTTAATATCGCAGTGTTCTCCTTTTTTGATTGACCTTTGAAATTGTAGGAGCTGACAGAGAGAGTAGTGAAAAATTACCTTTTGGTTGAGATCAGTCGTAAAGGAAAATGTATGAGCAGATAGTGATTGCAATAAAAGGATGTATGATGTAAGTGAGTTATTTTGCGCCCCACAGGTTCGGTACACCAATATTGGCATCAAGAATTAAGCCAAATATTTTGTTTTAGAAATAAAGAATCTGAAAAAATATACTAAGAAACTGAGTAAGGCAGTCATTCTGTTGGTCTTGCAGGCTTCAAGTGACAAAGAGAATCCCATCAATAAGCATTACTTTGTCCAAAGTTCCTTTAGATGCAACACAACCAGGGTAAGATAACCTTTTGGTCAAAGAGGCCCAGTGATAAATATGATCATAGAACTTGATATAGATCAAAAATGTTGCTCAAAAAGTGACTTCTCGGTCTATGAAACTTTAGCACGATTATCTTAACTTGATCATTAGTTTTATGTAGGCAAACTCTCCTCGAGTTGAATTCTTAAGAAAAATATCCAAGTTTAAAAAGAGCAAGAGAGATTCATCATCGTATGTTCACGTTGTCGATAAAACGTGAAATTAGGCAATTCTTGTCATAGTTGTGCATTGATGGCCAAGAAATGTACAAAAAAGGGTGATGCACATGCAGAGTTGTTGTTTTGCTAATCTAAACCAATGCTTTTTGAGGTTCTCGTTGTCATCGCCATAGTGGCATCTTAAACTCCCTAATTACTGGCCATGGTATCCAAGAACATGAGGTCATAGCTAGAGTGTCCATCTAATGAAATATCCCGCCAGGGCCTGGTAAATGGTCCTGAGGGTGACATCTTGAGTTTAAACCTGGTCCGCTGGAACTTTCGTTCTTTAGTCTGCAAAATTGATCATGACTTGGAAAACTGTCAATACGATCAGATATGCCAAACAGTTCACCTACAAACTTGCAAATTTTTCAGTGATAGATAGCAATGAGTCTGTCTTCATATACAGGTCAATTTATGCAAATGCTTGCCTGGTTTGTCAAAGAAAATGTTTACAAATCCCTGTGGTAGATTAAAATATAGGCCATTTCCATTTCCAACAACCCTCACTTTCAAAGCAAACCTAAGTTCAAAACTGTCAGTCTACTGATAATCAATGACCTATAAATGTTTGGAATTTTGCATATAATTATCTTTAAGGTGATGTTACATGGGACAATTTGCCACAACGATTTTTAGCACAACACAGTGTTGCAACATTGTTGCGACATTTGTTTCAAGAATGGTTGCAACACTGTTCCAACATTGCAATGCTGTGTTGCTCAAAAAATCATTGTTGCGAATCATCCCGTGTAACATCACCTTTACATGTATTGTGTTATTCTCTCCTCTTAAGGTACCAGGCCCCGGGAAAATCCGTAAGCCCGGTTCAGTTTGGAGATGAAGACTGGGAACTAGCTTGGGAAAATGATTCTGCCAAAGCAGAGCAAAGGACTAATAATGGACAGTCAAAAAATAATAAAAAGAGGAAAAATAAACAAAGTGAAGATAGCAGCAAAGTTGCAAACTCTAAGGATTCTGTATATGAGGTTACCCATGGCAACTGTGAGGGCCATTCAGAGAGGGGTGCAAATGGAGATGTTGCAGAAAGCCAGGAGGGACAATTAGGGAGCAAAGTCTTGAAAAAAGAGGGAGGACAGTCATGGAAATCTAAAAGTACTGATAGTCAAGAAAGTAAAAGTACACAGAAAACCCAAACACCTATTAAACATTCTCCTCAAAAGAAACAGATAACACAGGAGTCTGCTAAATAAACAAACTTGTGGGTGCATCTGCCCTTCTATTTCTAGACCACATGAGGGCAATATGTTGACATTTAACCCTTCTGGATGTTCATAGACTGTTATTGTGAGATGATTTTGAATCTCCTCTTCAGATTACAGATCAAGCTGGATAACGCAAAGTTCTTAGATCTGTTACTCAGATTAATCATAACAATCAAAACTTCTGTGATAATTAAAGCTTTTTTGAAAGTAATTAAACAACACAGGGTCTTGCGAGTCTTTTGTTTGAAATGGAAAAACAAAACATTCAGAACCATTCAATAAAGCATGACGAGAAAGCGGGGTAGGCTGGGATGTAATGCTGTGTTATCAGAGAGAACTAATTAGAACAAATTGGAGAACTTTCTGACTTTGTGATAGTTAAATGAAGGAACAACTTTTAAGAATTAAAAAGAATGCTCTTTAAAAAGCGTTAAGTCAAGCTTGTTGCTTGGAGATTAGATAAGAAATTAGGAAAAGGTAAAGGCGCACACGAGTCAGAGGCCCACATGGCCGGCACTTATTTCCGGTTTCCATAGCATGAAGCAAGTCTAGGAGTATTGCTACTCCCATAAAGAACTAGAATACAAAGTGGAAAAGTGCAAGTACAAGAAGTTTTAGGTCATGCAGCCAAGGATCAGAATGAAATCTGATCTTCCAGTTGGTAAGTAAAACACCCCGGATCAGTGTACATGAAGTTTTACAGTCATGGTTGATTAATACAGTCTATCATTTATTAGTGAAGAATAAATAAGGGAGGGGAGGGGGGGGGTTCAATTGAGAGGGGTGGTTTGTTAACTTTCTTCCCCTGAAAAGGGGGGGCTTAATAGAGGATTTACGGTATATTAAAGTTATGTGAGAACTGTGAGCTGAAGAATAATATGAAAGAAGATCATCGCAGTTATAGATGCAGCTTTTGCAGTTGCGAAAAGAAAGCCTGAAAAAATTCAGGCTTGTACAGGATTTGAACCCTTGGCCTCTACAACAACGGTGCAGCGCTCTTTCTGCTAAAGCAAGCTTGACCAATAAAATACAATATTCAATAGTACAGTACAAACAACCTAGTATGCTTTGGTTTCCCCATAAATTAATTTTCCATGTTAGAGCATCCAAATATCCAATATAACAGTAAGCAAAGACAAGCAAGTTTATTGGCACAACTAAGACAAAAAGGCCATTTAATAAGAAAAGACTACATTACCGTGATTACAGCTTTCACAATCTCATTTTGCACTGTGCACTTCTAACTAGTGTTAAGTCACATCTATTTTATCATTTTAATGAGAATGCCTTACAATTTTTTTAGTTTGGTGTGTTTATTTTTTGGGGGTATTTTTTTTTTCAAGATGACACTGAATACTGCATTCTTTTAGCCTTACCTTTAAGTAAGGAGCGGTCAACATAATTTTATGGAAAAAAATCATTTTTTATCACCTGATGGGAGGAATTTCTCGGTTTTAATTACTTTCTAATAGGTCTAGCACTGGTAAATTTGTCACCCTTACTACTTGAATTTATACAAACGTCAAAGCAAGCTAATATTAATATCACTATTAATTCCTGAAGAGTTTTGATAGTTGTAATTAGATTTGGGTCTGTTAACATTGCGTTTCCTGGGCAGGCTGTTGCTGTGTATCTGGAGGTGTAAAGAGATGTACATCGTGGCGCTCTCTGTCCAAGGTTTGAATTCTTGTGCGACAAACAACGCATTTGAGGGGAAGGTTAAGATCGTTTACCGCAACCTGTAATGTCTTGACAAAGCAGCGACGACATAATACCCTGTGTTTGCAGGGGTATGTTTGAATTATAGCCTTGGCACTGTTACACACAATACACTACAAGAAAAGGAAAATATGAAATCATAAAACATAAAATGGAAATAATATGTAGCCTGAGAAAACAGCCAACATTTGGCAACACTACCACTGGTTTCCCCACCAAATGACGTCTGAGAAACGAGCGCAAAAATTCCATACTGATGACGCGTCACTACCCAGATCTGGGTAGGGCTTCTGATTGGTTGAAACAAATTTTCTACGCGGCACGACCAATCAGAAGCACTACCCATATCTAGCAGATCTGGGTAGTGATGCATCATCAGTATGGAATTTCTGCGCTCGTTTCTCAGATGTCATTTGGTGGGGAAACCAGTGGTAGTGTGCCAAATGTTGGCTGTTTTCTCAGGCTAAGTAATATACAAACTTAAAGAGGTGAAATTCACCAAAAAAGTGCAAATAATCCTATGAAGTCTCTGAGCGATTTTAGCAGAATAATCAGCAAATCAACACCACTTCCTGTTGAGAGTATATGCCTTAATTTCATGATCAAAACAAAGTGGCCATCAAGAGACAAATGATAAACAAATCCAATCGACATACAACAATAAACAATTTATCTTTAGAACATCTGAGATAAGCTTTAACAATGGTTAGACTAAATAATTTGTGCCTTCTTTTCTTTTTGGTGCATCGAAGAAATGGTTCTTTTTACCACCTGAAGCAATTAATTTTACATCAGCACATTTGGTGGCCTATACCGGCGACTGAATTGTGTGACACACCTTAGCCTGGGAGCAACTAGCTCTCCATTTAGGAGGGGGGGGGGGGTCACGAGAAGTCATGCATGAGTGGCAAGTAAAAGAAGAACGAAAGGCAGAGAATTATTTTTTCCTCCACCCCTTGCTGTCTCGCACACCCATTTATTTCTCTTGAGCCTTGCTTCGCTCACCAGAAATGGAGAACTTGCCTCCAGGCTATACACCACACACCATTAAGGAGCCTTACCTCATCATCCTCTGTCTCTGGAGGTTCTGGTTCAAAATTGTCTAATGAACCAAGAAGTTGCTCCTGTTAAACAAAGAACAAACAAAATTACCACAATAAGTTCCCAGAAATCTGTTGACCTACCCCTTCCCTAACCAATATTTTGCCCCAAGTTAGAACAAAGTGTTGATTCTAGGTTAGGGGAGAGATGAGTGGGCAGATTCCCAGAATGTTGGGGTGATCTGAAAAAGAATAACACTGACGACAAGAAAAGAAAAAAAGGAGAAAAGAGAAAAGAAAAGACAATAGTGAAAATCCATTTTTTCGTCCTTCTTTTACACACAGCCTTATTTGCTGGGGTCAATTAACTGGCAACCAAGTAATACAGTCAACTGTCCTTTGGGACCTATATACTATACGTCTGTCTTAGAGAGATGTCTTTCTTATAGAGAGTCAACTAAAAGGTATAAAGAAAGGCAGGGACCAACTCTCGGTGTCCGTATTAGCAAGGTATCCATCTTATAGAGAGAGTTGACCTTCCATAATCTATAATAATATTACTTTGGTTTTGGTTTTGGTTTTTGTTTTTTTGGGTTTTCGTCATCGACCAGAGCTCTCCATCAATCAGCATGCCAGAAATCACTCAGTTCATGCATAGGTTGAGTATGATCACCTGGGTGAACACAGTCCTGAGTATGACTGTTGTTCACAGTCAATGACTGACATGTCAACAACCTGTGCAGTAGTCATCTTCCAAGTCAAAGTGAGTTGTATCACATCACTTGATGGTATTAAACACTGGTTATTAATCTGATTAGTCAATTAAGTCAGCATTTGTTGTCTGTCAGTTAAGCCGTGATGTCGTTGGCTTTGAACGTTCGTAAAGTGATTGGTGCGTTTCGATCCATCTATTGACACAGTTTAACAGTCATTTATTGTTAGTCAAATTGTTTCAGTTGTCCAGTCATTCTCCCGAGGTTAGTTTTGTTTGAGTCAGGCATTAAGTCATCAGTATGGTGCCGGTAACTGTTGACTATAATTCAGTGGCATTTGCTCTAAGTTAGTGAACCAACTTTCTAAAGGGAGTCGTAGTTTGTAGAATACATAATACATGTGGCAGAGTCCCAGTCTATTTGACCTTTTGTCTGTAAATAGTGTTCAGCAATGTGATTGTTGATGTCATCATTTCTTCTCGCTCTTTTGTGTTTGGTCAGTTGTAACAGTATCTAACCTGGTATGATAATTATGTAACGTAACAATTTCTCTATGTCACGCATGTTGATTAAGTAACGTGTAATTTATCACATGCAGTATTTTTCCCAACCATATGCTTTTGTAGTAATGGCTGAATAAACTACTAGCGTTGAACTACGAGTCTATTTACAGTCAGTCACATGCTAAGATTTCTACTGTTTTTAATGCTGTGAGTGGCCCGTCAGTTGCAGCATTTGATCTTCTATACTTCCCCTGTCTGTCATCTGATTGGTTATAGGTTTGCATGCAACACGTACATTGTAAGGTTGTACTATATATGTGATAGTTTCAGAGGTGCCTCTGATGTACGGTATAGTCTCTGAGGTAACAGGCTAGGGCCAGAGTTATGCTTGACATAAACACAAATTCAAGCACAAGTGGGATACAAAAAAACTGGGCCCAGTTGTTCGAAGGGTGATTAGTGCTGACACGGGGTTAAATTTTAATCCGTGTTTCTTTTCTTTGTCCAAAAGGATTTTCTCGGATTGCAGACAAAAGGAATTAAGAAGGAATCCACCAGGAAACTGAGTAATTTTAGTTTTCATGGGACAAAAACCTTCTACCAGAATAATTTGAACAATATCGCATTCTTTTTGACATTTTTCAAAGGCTAAAGATGTAATGAGTCATCTGTAATAACACCTAAGAAAATCTCTTATAGGAGCCGAGGAAATAAATGTGAAATTTCACAAAATTACATCTTACACATGAAATTTTCAGAATTTTACCTGTCTTTTCACAATTCTTGTGAAATTTGACATTCATTTTCTCGGGCTCCCATGAGAAATAGTCTTTGGTGTTATTATAGATAACTAAGTACCTCTTTAGGCCAGAATGCAATATTCTTTAAATTATTTCGGTATGAGGTTTTTGTCCACTGGGAATTAAAATTACTCAATTTCCTGGTGGATTCCATCTTAACATGATAATGTGTTTCAAGCTTTTATATTTGCAAGCAAATTTTTTCACTAACCCTGAGTTATCTTAACCAAGCTTTGAACAACCTGGCCCTGTTGTTTTGACTTGCACTTGCCTCCAATAATTACTAATATATACAAAAAATATACTCGTTCTGTAGCCTATCTCTGACAATGGATGCTTAGGCCTGGTTCAGACGCTGATCTTTTCATGAGCTGAACCTAATTCGAATTAAGGCCAACTCAAATTATTTAGACCGGCTGAATTGATTCAGACGCCGATCTTAATTGCAGCTAAACTAAAATCAAATGGCGAAAAATGCTCATTTCGGTCAAACTGCTTACAAAATACGTTATAGTAATTTATGCATTAGGTTCGGTACATGAAAAGTTTAGCATCCGAATCAAAGCCGTTCCAAAGTCTCCCCAAAGGCGAAATTCTCAGCCAGGCTAGGCAAAAAGAACAGCTGAGCCGTTCCAAATTGAAACAGGCATTCCTAATTGATTCAGACGCCGAACTTTTCATGTACTTAATTCAATGTATTAGGTTCGGCTCATGAAAAGATCAGCGTCTGAACCGGGCCTGACAATAACATTTTCCATGGTATTGTTTAAAACAAATAGACAACAATTATTTTTATTCTTACAGATCATACATAGAAATAACATCAGAGACATCAAAATGATGAAAACCTTAAGTGAAGCCACTCAACAGTTTCTCTTCCGTTTGAAACATTTGGATCATTTCTATGGTTTTAAAGATCGTAAACAAATTTAATAACTCTTCTATAAACTATTCTTCATTGTCTGAAGTATGTAAAATCTCTGCATAACTTTTATAAGTTTCAACATCTAACTGTAGTTCATATAATAAACGTTTAGTTTTTAGGTGATTCTGTAAAGAAATTGGCTTACACTTTAGATAAGACTTGATAAGAAATGAAAAAGCTCAAATAATGAAATATGTTGTCAAAATTTGTATTGTTGACGACGGTGCCGTCATTAACAATAAGAGAAAAATGTATGAAAATCATTTCCCTAGATACATACCAATTTGTCGCGTAATTCCACAAGTTTTTCGACTCTCCTTCTTCTGTACTCTATACCTGCGAGAGCTTCCGCCCTAGATCTGATTTGTTGTTTCTTATAAATGTAGTAACGATAGATGAAGTACAATCCTGCAGACGCTGCCAGAGTGCAGACAATTGCTTTGTTGTGTCGACTGAAAAAACCTGACATGGCGAATGATCCGTTTCTATACTTTACAGTATGGATATTCAAATACACATTCGTCGATCCTTCGCATTCCTTAAACTGCTAAATTCTTGAGACAGGAAGACTTCTCTTTTGCGTTTGTGAAAGTATAAAAGCACACCGAAAAGTACACCTGGTAGGAGGGGGATTGGGTACAAGAAGAGAACAAGAGAGCAGAAAGGAGGGAGGGGAGGCAAAAGACGAGATTTGACTAGGTGGAGGAATCGGGGGCGGGGGAAATTCTAAACGGGAGGACTCTTTTCAGCCGTAGACCTTCCGAGGATGTTGAAAAACCTTGGCTACCATTGTTTCCAATTTCTCCTAGGTATTACAGTCGTCCAAAAATAAATTAAAGCCAATGGTTCTTCCCGTGGGGGGGCACTTTGGTATTTTTTGGGTGGGTATGTGCCGCCCGGGACTCCAAATTGGCACCCCGTTCTAAAAAAAAATTCCCCTAAAATTGATACCCCGTTCTAGAAATGGGCCAATTTTTATACTCCGTTCCAGAAAGTTTGTAAATTGAAATAGTCCTGTTTTTTTAAAAAAGATATTTCTTTATTTGTTTGACTTATACATCAAATAAATGCTTCTTCATAATCAGCAACAATTTTGAGCAGAAGATAAAGCCGTGATCCACAATTTTTTATACCCCGTTATAGAAAACGCCTCTGAAATGCATACCACGTTCTAAATCAGGAGCTTCAAAATCACGACCCCGTTGGGCGGCACATACCCGTATAGGTAATGTATGGAAGTACCCCCCCGGGGGTTCTGCAAAGTTTTGGGGGGTAGGCAAGGTGCATTATGTTTGCCTGGATAGCAATTTATCTGGCCCCGGTTGTTGAAAAGATGGATAGCACTATCCAGTGGATAAATCACTATCCAGTGGATAAGTATTTGGAAAACCAATTGCGCTATCCAGTGGAGAGAGATTTATCCTGAGGATAGCACTATCCACCTTCTGAACAACTGGGGCCAGATTAATAGGGCCTCTGGGATAAGACTTTCTTTACAAAAAACTTGTTGAAAAGTCAATTTTAAAAATCCCACAAACAGCACTCTTTTTTTATTTTCAGAATGCTGGAAATAGCATATGTGAGCTTCAAGATTTCATTTTTTAAAGAAGCGTGCTCCCACGACCCCCCTAGGAAAAGGTAGCATTGGGACCCCTTTGTCACCTTAGACATAACTGTTCAACCTTGGACCCGGGGATTGGCTTCCCAGTTAGATATATCAAGTCTAGATCAGGATTATTTGGCGGGCGGAAATGCGTCAACACCGCTGAGACGGTTAGACAAGTTTTGCTAAGTCTTTTTTTACAGAAAAAGTCGAAAAAAACAATGACATTGAAACAAGAGTAGCCCGCGTAGCAAGCATTTCTGTGCCCTTTAGGAGCAAAGAACAAGGAACAAGAGTGAAAGACCACGCAAAAAATGGCGCAAATAAAAGAGAGGGGAGGGGGTTGGTTCTCGTATTGTTTCTCGCGCGGTCAAAACCGAAAATCCCCTTCCACAGTCTCTTTTTGCTCCGAAACCAAACGGAAACGCTTGCTACGCAGGCTAAAACAAGAGCCACAATGGCTCTTGATTGAAACCATAAAGTCAGTAAAAAATTTTTACGTCCCTGTTCCTGTTTCTCTACAAAAGCCCTTTGCATACAAACAGTATTTCAATCCAGGGGCTGGGATTTATCTTCTGGGTACAAATAATAAAATCCAGCCTAAAATCCTAGCCACAGTGCTTGATCTACTGAATTATCGAGTGGAATATAAAATATTCCTAATTCCTGACGAATAACTTCATTCATTCTGTCACGCGTCATCAATTCACATTCCAGACATTCTTTTTCCACACTCAGATCGAGCCATAAATGGTGAACTTTTTAAACTTATATTTTAGCCAATTTAAAATTAAAATACAACTACAACCAAGCACTTAAAAAACTACAAGTCCCTTATAATCAGGCTATAAGTCAAACAGAATTTTGTAACGCAATTTTTAGATAATGTTAATCGTCGTCCTTCTTTCCGTGCTTCAAAATATGAGTGAATTGGTTGTAATCTAGGTAGCCATCTTTGTCGATCGGCGCGTCACGAAGGACATCATCTACTTGATCTTCAGTGAATCTATCTCCCATCGTAACTAGAGCCTCTTTAAGAAAATCTTCATGTATTTTACCGTTGCCATCTTCGTCAAAACAGGCAAACGCATTGTTGATTACATCTTCAGGATCTGTCCCGTTCAATTTCTCGCCAAACAATGTCAGAAACATTGTGAAGTTGATCGGTCCAGGTGACATCTTCACCATTTCCTCCAAGTATTCATCAGTTGGGTCTTTACCCAAGGAAGCCAGCATGTCATGCAGGTCTTCTTTATCAACGAAACCGTCGCTATTTTGATCGATCATGTTGAAGGCCTCTTTGAATTCTTGAATTTGGTTCTGATCGAACATAGCAAAAACGTTCGAGGTGGCTCTGTGAGCCCTCTTTTTACTCGACTTCTTCGTTTTTCGCGAAGCCATCTTATGATGTGGCTCGGGGAATCACGATCCAGTTAACAGCAAAGGCAAAATAGAAACCAGAAAAAACCTTGTGTGCTGCTCCCTAACATTTGAAACACGACCTCTAATATTGTTATCGTGTCCAGGCTTCCTAGTGCTTACGTCAGCGAAGACACCGGAAGTTTAGGTTTGCAAACCTCGCCTAGTCTACATCCGGTTCAACTACCCAGTCGACGAAACTAAAATGTTCTTCTGGTTAAAAAAAAGGACAGAATACCGACTTTCCTTTCTTATAACATGTTACAAGCTAGTACAGTCATGTCAAATGATGATTATTCTTCAGGCAAGTTTCCTAAAAACTTGCAAACAATAGAAAACTTATTGATCCTAAACAAAGCGGGGGTTATTGGTATCAATGTATCAATCATTTTAAAAGAGGTACAGTCACACTTCTATAATTTAATCAAAGCACCCATCCTCTGTTTAGAGTTAGAGAGAATGTTCATTAGGCAGTTACTTGACTCATAAAAGACTTCAGCTCCCTTCCATGATTCAGGTGATAGCCTGCAAGTAAGCAGTGAGTAAATAATTTTCTTAGTTTTCTTACTAGGCAAAAATGTTCTTTTGATGGTATAACATGGCACCATGATAAATTCTAACTAACTTAAAGAAATCAGTCAACAAAAAACACCGTACACGGATTTTCTTGAGACAGCAACAGAAAACAAATGACAATGATGATAAACCCTTAAAAACCTGAAAATCTTTAATAACCACCAAGATGCAATGCCAAAGTATGATTTAAATACTAATTAACCCTCCACATTAATTACAAACAGCTTCAGATTTATAAAATTTAGTGAAAATGACGAGACAAATTCAGCCTTAATTTCAGCCATTTGCTTGACTCTAAAGGAGTTTCAGACTTGCAGAGATGACTGAAATTCATACTAAAGACAAACCCATGAACAACAGAAATTCATGAAGTGTTAAGGTGGGACTCACATATGAAAGCATGAGGATGCTCAAGTTAGGTTCACTTAGTGTATTCAAGATGATCAAACAACTATACTTATACCGATGAAGGTATTGCTTAAGGATTGTAAGAGGAAAAAGAGACAAAAACGAAAACCAAAGAGAAGAAAGAAAAAGGTAATCAACGACAAATTCTTTAACACAAGTAGATTACTTCTGTTTTTGTTACTTCTCAAGGGGAGGTGTCAAATAAATCATATATCTATTGGTGCCCTTCAGAGGATTAATTCCAACTTTCTGAAAAGCATCCTTGCTGCTTTCACATGGGTATCACCTGCACCATTAATTTGGGAGTGTGCTATTTTTACAACAAAACCATTTCAAAACAAAAACAATGTAACAAATCACGCTGACGGAAAAGTCATAAGCCAGACAAAAAATGTGGCTGAAAATCTCTTTTTCAGTCCATCTCTGTGTTTGGACACCCTGACAAAACACTCTAACTTGTGTTTGATTTATACTAATACACTAATCTGGTTACTTAAGTCAACCAAGCAGCAAACAACACTAACCAACCTGAAAGCTAGCAGCATAATAGAATTCAATTAGTTTTAATTTGGCAACAATGTAATTGACACTGGTAGCAAGCATGTTATTATCGCTGCAGCTGAAAGCTTCGCTCTTAAAAATGAGATAATGAGGTAAATAATTCCTATGCACAACCATAAGGTGTCAATTTACTGTGACATATGCCAAATTACTCCAATGAGACACAATAATTTATCAAGTAAATTTCAGTCAGATCTTTTTCATTTCCTTTCCACTCTCAGTGTTTGAATAATTCCTATATGGATGTTAACCCTTTAAACCCAAATATCAAAATTTCAAATTCTCATTGTTGTCTGTATGCATTTCCTAAAGAAGTAGTGGGTGGAAGTTGTGAAAGTATCAATTATTGAATTCATCTTGTGTGATCATGTCTGTAATGCTCATCACCAATCTGTTTTATAATTATACTACAAGGAGGAGTTTCATTCTGACCACTCCTAGGGTTTAAACGGTAAAAGAGAAGTCAAAATGCTGGTGCCTGCATCTAAGCCACACCCCCAATATTGGTTCTTTTTTTCTTTTTTCCGAAAAAATAGTATAGCGTGTATGAAGAGAAATTATGGTAAAATATAACTTTGACTTCTTTGTTCACCTCAATGGTTTTTGAGGTAAATTAAAGATAAGGATATAAAATCTGCATTACATATGTGATGCTTTACAGGCTTATCTAGATCACCATTGATCATTAGATGAAGATGATGATGATGACAATGATGTGTCAAATGTGCGCTAAACACCCAGCAAAATCAAGATTATACACTTTATGAAGACTAATTTCAGGTCCATTTTAAATCTAAGTTAGGAAAAGACTTTTCAGAGCTAAGCGAAGACAACTATAGTTCTCATCGTTACCCTAGTCGTCCTCCTTTTTCCCATGCTTCAAAATATGAGTGAATTGGTTGTAGTCTAAGTAGCCATCTTTGTCAATAGGCGCGTCACGAAGGACATCATCAACTTGATCTTCAGTGAATCTATCTCCCATCGTAACTAGAGCCTCTTTAAGAAAATCTTCATGTATTTTACCGTTCCCTCCTTCGTCGAAACAGGCAAACGCATTGTTGATTACATCTTCAGGATCTGTCCCGTTCAATTTCTCGCCAAACAATGTTAGAAACATTGTGAAGTTGATTGGTCCGGGAGACATCTTTATCATTTCCTCCAGGTAATCATCAGTTGGGTCTTTACCCAAGGAAGCCAGCATGTCATGTAGGTCTTCTTTATCGACGAAACCATCGTGGTTTTGATCTATCATGTTAAACGCCTCCTTGAATTCTTGAATTTGGTTCTGATCGAACATAGCGAACACGTTCGATGTAGCTCGGTGAGCTCGCTTTTTTGTTGTCTTCTTGGTCTTTGCCCTGGCAGCCATCTTGGTCTTCAACTTGCACTACAGCAAACTGGATAAAGCAACTGCACAAGAAAGATCTGAAACGCCTTATCGGATATAATATTTGCAAGACGAAAGTGTGCGAAACGCAACCTTGAAATATGCAAATGCTTACATGACGCGTAGGTCACATGACACACAGATCAAACAAAACAGCGGTTTTACGTATATTGTATGCGTCACAATTAACTTTAGTACGTAAAAAGAAATTTGTTAAAAGTTTAGTGACTCCAAGATTTAGCGAATTAACACGGAAAATGAAAGCTGAGAGAGGTCTCAGCATCAACAATCCGAACGAATCCTGGCTGGAAAGCAAGGGAACGTGGTTTACCTATGTATTGCTCATTATAATCGGCCATTTGGTTATTTTGAGCGTGCCTTTTTTCGATACCCCGACAGCATGGACCCTTACAAATATGTTCCATAATTTGGTAAGATTACAAATTCGTAGTGTTTAATTTACCGCCTATTTTTTCGATCAATTTTGTCTTGACTGGGAAATCTGATTTGGCTTTTGTATCAGCTGTTGGTTTAAAATAGTAATTTATTTAATGTAAAAGAAGGTATGTTTAGATTGATCAAGTTAATTTGTCCCGAAAAACGGTTGTTAATTTAGTGTATAAATTGTGATTGTCGTAGTATTTATGTTTGATTAACTTATTATTTCGCTGTTCAATATTACTGCTGGTCTGGTACTTTTTCAAGAACCAATGTAGCTTATTTTGGAGTAAGCTACAATTTAACAGTTGCACAAAAATTTACATTTGAGTACCTGCAACTACAATCCAAACTACACGTATGTCGTACTGGTGGTTCCCCCTGGTTTTTCTGATTATTGATGAGCTTACAGTTTAGTTTTGATTGTTTTGAATCATGCAGAATATCTAAAAGGTTTATAAAAATGTGCTAGTGTAACTTCTTTTGCAATAAGATGCATTGAATTGGTTAGTTTAGTATAAAGAGATGTTCAGTATAAATTTCAGTATACATTTAATATGTATTGACACTAGTCATCTCTTATTAATTGCTTGTCATGCTGTCGCTGTGTTATTACGGTGATAAAACCATTTTGACCACAGCAAAACCTCAATATAACAAAGTGCCAAGGGGTTAGCAAAATTTGTTTGCTACAATGAGGTTTCATTATACCAAGGTGCTTTTGCATATAATAATTTTTACAATAATTGGGGTAAAGAAAATCATTCATTATACTGAGGACTTTGTTATACGGAGGTGCGTTATATGAAGGTTCCACTGTAACATGGTTATTTATTAATATCATGACTGACAAATAATTAGTCCTTAATTTTGGTGCAAAGTCTCAGCGTTAAGTTATAATTTACCTGTGAAAATGCCATATTTCCATGGCAACATTTCCTGTATTTCAAGCCAGTTGGTTCCAAAGGCTGAGTCATTCGAAAGAAGATAAATGCAAATCCAGTTTTAGTTAACATGACCATAGCCTGCAAAAACATCCGTTTCTCCAGATAAACCCTTAAAAACCTGAAAATCTTTAATAACCACCAAGATGCAATGCCAAAGTATGATTTAAATACTAATTAACCCTCCACATTAATTACAAACAGCTTCAGATTTATAAAATTTAGTGAAAATGACAAGACAAATTCAGCCTTAATTTCAGCCATTTGCTTGACTCTAAGGGAGTTTCAGACTTGCAGAGATGACTGAAATTCATACTAAAGACAAACCCATAAACAACAGTAATTCATGAAGTGTTAAGGCGGGACTCACATATGAAAGCATGGGGATGCTCAAGTTAGGTTCACTTAGTGTGTTCAAGATGATCAAACAACTAAACTTACACCCATGAAGGTATTGCTTAAGGGTTGTACGGGGAAAAAGAGACAAAAACGAAAACCAGAGAGAAGAAAGAAAAAGGTAATCAACGACAAGTTCTTTAACACAAGTAGATTACTTCTGTTTTTGTTACTTCTCAAGGGGAGGTGTCAAATAAATCATATATCTATTGGTCCCCTTCAGAGGATTAATTCCAACTTTCTGAAAAGCATCCTTGCTGCTTTCACATGGGTATCACCTGCACCATTAATTTTGGAGTGTCCTATTTTTACAACATCACAACTATTTCAAAACAAAAACAATGTAACAAATCACGATGATGGAAAAGTCATAAACCATACAAAAAATGTGGCTGTAAAACTCTTTTTCAGTCCACCTCTGCATTTGAACACCCTGACAAAACACTCTAACTTGTGTTTGATATATACCGGTACTAATACACTAATCTGGTTACTTTAGTCAACCAAGCAGCAAGTAACACTAACCACCCTAAAAGCTAGCAGCATAGAATACAAATTTCAATTTGGCAACAATGTAACTGACACTGGTAGCAGTAAAAATGAGATAATGAGGTAAATAATTCCTATGCACAACCATAAGGTGTCAATTTACTATGACATATACCAAATTACTCCAATGAGACAATAATTTATCAAGTAAATTTCAGTCAGATCTTTTTCATTTCCTTTCCACTCTCAGTGTTTGATAATTCCTATATGGATGTTAACCCTTTAAACCCAAATATCAAAATTTCAAATTCTCATTGTTGTCTGTATGCATTTCCTAAAGAAGTAGTGGGTGGAAGTTGTGAAAGTATCAATTATTGAATTCATCTTGTGTGATCATGTCTGTAATGCTCATCACCAATCTGTTTTATAATTATACTACAAGGAGGAGTTTCATTCTGACCACTCCTAGGGTTTAAACGGTAAAAGAGAAGTCAAAATGCTGGTGCCTGCATCTAAGCCACACCCCCAATATTGGTTCTTTTTTTCTTTTTTCCGAAAAAATAGTATAGCGTGTATGAAGAGAAATTATGGTAAAATATAACTTTGACTTCTTTGTTCACCTCAATGGTTTTTGAGGTAAATTAAAGATAAGGATATAAAATCTGCATTACATATGTGATGCTTTACAGGCTTATCTAGATCACCATTGATCATTAGATGAAGATGATGATGATGACAATGATGTGTCAAATGTGCGCTAAACACCCAGCAAAATCAAGATTATACACTTTATGAAGACTAATTTCAGGTCCATTTTAAATCTAAGTTAGGAAAAGACTTTTCAGAGCTAAGCGAAGACAACTATAGTTCTCATCGTTACCCTAGTCGTCCTCCTTTTTCCCATGCTTCAAAATATGAGTGAATTGGTTGTAGTCTAAGTAGCCATCTTTGTCAATAGGCGCGTCACGAAGGACATCATCAACTTGATCTTCAGTGAATCTATCTCCCATCGTAACTAGAGCCTCTTTAAGAAAATCTTCATGTATTTTACCGTTCCCTCCTTCGTCGAAACAGGCAAACGCATTGTTGATTACATCTTCAGGATCTGTCCCGTTCAATTTCTCGCCAAACAATGTTAGAAACATTGTGAAGTTGATTGGTCCGGGAGACATCTTTATCATTTCCTCCAGGTAATCATCAGTTGGGTCTTTACCCAAGGAAGCCAGCATGTCATGTAGGTCTTCTTTATCGACGAAACCATCGTGGTTTTGATCTATCATGTTAAACGCCTCCTTGAATTCTTGAATTTGGTTCTGATCGAACATAGCGAACACGTTCGATGTAGCTCGGTGAGCTCGCTTTTTTGTTGTCTTCTTGGTCTTTGCCCTGGCAGCCATCTTGGTCTTCAACTTGCACTACAGCAAACTGGATAAAGCAACTGCACAAGAAAGATCTGAAACGCCTTATCGGATATAATATTTGCAAGACGAAAGTGTGCGAAACGCAACCTTGAAATATGCAAATGCTTACATGACGCGTAGGTCACATGACACACAGATCAAACAAAACAGCGGTTTTACGTATATTGTATGCGTCACAATTAACTTTAGTACGTAAAAAGAAATTTGTTAAAAGTTTAGTGACTCCAAGATTTAGCGAATTAACACGGAAAATGAAAGCTGAGAGAGGTCTCAGCATCAACAATCCGAACGAATCCTGGCTGGAAAGCAAGGGAACGTGGTTCACCTATGTATTGCTCATTATAATCGGCCATTTGGTTATTTTGAGCGTGCCTTTTTTCGATACCCCGACAGCATGGACCCTTACAAATATGTTCCATAATTTGGTAAGATTACAAATTCGTAGTGTTTAATTTACCGCCTATTTTTTCGATCAATTTTGTCTTGACTGGGAAATCTGATTTGGCTTTTGTATCAGCTGTTGGTTTAAAATAGTAATTTATTTAATGTAAAAGAAGGTATGTTTAGATTGATCAAGTTAATTTGTCCCGAAAAACGGTTGTTAATTTAGTGTATAAATTGTGATTGTCGTAGTATTTATGTTTGATTAACTTATTATTTCGCTGTTCAATATTACTGCTGGTCTGGTACTTTTTCAAGAACCAATGTAGCTTATTTTGGAGTAAGCTACAATTTAACAGTTGCACAAAAATTTACATTTGAGTACCTGCAACTACAATCCAAACTACACGTATGTCGTACTGGTGGTTCCCCCTGGTTTTTCTGATTATTGATGAGCTTACAGTTTAGTTTTGATTGTTTTGAATCATCCAGAATATCTGAAAGGTTTATAAAAATGTGCTAGTGTAACTTCTTTTGCAATAAGATGCATTGAATTGGTTAGTTTAGTATAAAGAGATGTTCAGTATAAATTTCAGTATACATTTAATATGTATTGACACTAGTCATCTCTTATTAATTGCTTGTCATGCTGTCGCTGTGTTATTACGGTGATAAAACCATTTTGACCACAGCAAAACCTCAATATAACAAAGTGCCAAGGGGTTAGCAAAATTTGTTTGCTACAATGAGGTTTCATTATACCAAGGTGCTTTTGCATATAATAATTTTTACAATAATTGGGGTAAAGAAAATCATTCATTATACTGAGGACTTTGTTATACGGAGGTGCATTATATGAAGGTTCCACTGTAACATGGTTATTTATTAATATCATGACTGACAAATAATTAGCCCTTAATTTTGGTGCAAAGTCTCAGCGTTAAGTTATAATTTACCTGTGAAAATGCCATATTTCCATGGCAACATTTCCTGTATTTCAAGCCAGTTGGTTCCAAAGGCTGAGTCATTCGAAAGAAGATAAATGCAAATCCAGTTTTAGTTAACATGACCATAGCCTGCAAAAACATCCGTTTCTCCGTACTCTTCGATGCTGGGATGTTTTGCATGGAGGAACGTCTGCGACTCAGCAACAGAAATTCCATACTGATGATGCAAATCAATGTTTACATAATAAATCCGGTAGTCATGGGGTTCCAAATATAAATTTGTCCCATTTTACGAACGTTATGGTCGATTTTGGCAAAGTGTTGTGTTCATCTGCCAACGAGCTACGGCAAAACTCAAATGCTTCTTCTAGAAAAGACTATATTCCACAAACATTGAATGTTTTGTCAGAGATTCTTCACGTTTACATTTGACCTTTGTGGCTTTTTGTCTTTTTTCTGTCATTCGTAAACAATAGCTAAAAGAATGTAACTACTCCTTGGACCAATCTGCGCTTCTGACCGGAATTCAGACAGATTTTACGTCATCAGTATGGAATTTCTGTCACTGAGTCGCAGACGTTCCTCCAAGCGAAACGTCTCCAGCGGCGAAAAGCGTGGAGAAGAAGATGTTTTCGCAGGCTAACATGACCACTCAGATACTCTCTTTAAAGTTAGCCCAGGATTATTTTTAACCAGGCTTGGGACAACTTGGGTCAGGTTCTTAGACGCTATGATTGAAATGTCAGGGTATCAGAATTAGACGTCAGAATAGTTCGTCCCTTCAAAGATCAAATAGCCTCCACTGCAGCCCATAGGCAATTGCATGATCTCAGCAATAAGGTTGCCCTCTCTTTGCAACCTTTTTTGTCAGCAAAAAATTGGAGCCAGGCCTAAAGCTGATAGAAATTGTGACCCTCCACGGGAAAACGTACACTAACGACCTTCCGTTAAACGGGCTAAAACGTTAGCTATCCGTTAGTCATCCGTTAGAAAAACTGATGAAAACCGTTAGTAGCGTTGGTAAATCCGTTAGCTGGTGACTCTTGCCCATCAGAGCGTTAATCATATCCGTTAGTGGCGTTGGTTAATCCGTTAGCACCCGATCCTTACCCGTTAGAGCGTTAGCCGTATCCGTTCCTTAGTCAATCCGTCAGTCTGATGATCTTTACTTGTTAGAAAACTTAGCGACAACTAACATTCGTTTCTGATAATGGAAACTCGAAAGACAGTAAAGAGAGCTTCTGAGAGTTCTGTGTTTGTGCTCCCTTGCACTAAAACATCCGGTGACAAAAGTCTCAGCTTTATTTGTTACAATGATATTTCTGGCAAGATGCACAGAGACAATTGAAATGGCAAAATACTCTGTCTTAAACGTTGAATTTCGTTACAAAAGTGTTTATGATGCGCCATTTATTGATGAGTAATTCACAGGCAAGTGATTGTCAAAAAATTATTGGCTTGTGCCGTCGAGTGTGAATTTGTGGCGTCATGAGAATCAAAAATGTGATATCTCTGGTTCCACAAGGCACACAAAGTCGATTGAAAGGGCAAAATACCCTGTCTTCGACGCTCAATTTCGTTACAAAATTGTTCATGATGCGCCAATTATTGACGAGTAATTATTCACAAGCATAGTTCATAGACTGTTTATTTGGCATGTGCCGCTGAGTGTGAATTTGTGGCGTCACGACAAGCAATGTGATAACTCTGGTTCTACAAGGCGCACAAAGTTGATTGAAACGGCAAAATACTCTGTTTAAAACGCTGAATTTCGTTAAGAAAGAGTTTATGATGCGCCATTTATTGATGAGTAATTGTTTATTTGGCATGTGTTGCCGAGCGTGAATTTGTGGCGTCACGAGAAAAAAGAATGTGGTATCCCTGGTTCTACAAGGCGCACCAAGTCGATTGAAACGGCAAATGAAGAAATTTTTTGAATGGAGAATTATCACCCAAGCTGTTCGAACGGCTTCCTACCATATTCTTTTCAACGCCCCCCACTGCATAATTCCGTTCCTTAAGTTAACCCATAAAGCGGTTCGAATACTTTGATATGCTGGCTTCAGTTCATCAGGTTATCAAAGAAATTTGCATAAAGCATGTGAACATGAAGTGTCAATCAACCGGAGATAAATAGTTTTTTTTTGACAATAAATTTAGATAAACGTTGTGTGATCGATACACGGCCGCGTGCTGGAAAAAGTTATTTTGAAGAGAAAAAAATACAGTTGGATTATGTGTGACTGGTGCCACCGATAATCTTTGAAAGCGCTATTAAAAGTGTGAACGCATTTCAGCGAACACTTTCCCTGTGGGCCTCTGCTAAAGAAATGACGGTCGTTCGGAAATTCGTCGTCTTTGGGTCGTCAGGCAACGCTTCCGCTGGTCTTCATTCCCGGTGGATCAAATTTCAACAAAAATTTGCATAAAGTTGTTTAGTTCGAATGTCAATGAGCGAGAGTCGACTAATATTATTTTAATTTTCCACCAAACTCAAAGGTCCACTGATGCATTTTTGGAATAAGATAACTAAGATGGATTGAGATAACCTGCCAGACATTCGCTGTAGTTGGTTAGCGGATTCTCAACAAGAGACGCTTTTGACTGTCGGCCGCAGTTGTTTATTGATGGTGGTCTGGTGTCGCTTTTTCGCTCAATTACGACTCCGTTTTTCGGCTTGTTTCGTTAGGGACAATTGCCAACGTCACGTAGAAAACAAAGAGGAATAGAAAGTGAATTGTCAGAATCGTAACTGTCGCAAACTATTTTGCTTTTTCTGAGTATTTTTGTCGATGTTTTGGGAGAATTGAGTCATGTCACTTGTCGATTCTACCCCTTGGAAGTCCTGATTGAATGTTATTATCAGTTTTAGCCGTTGCAAAACCACGCTTTCTTTCTTTGATCGACCGTTTAACTAAAGACTTCGCTAAAAGGCAAGAGATAATACGTGACCGATTCGATTCATTTCATTCTGATTCAATTTCCGCACTTCATGTGTTATTTCATTATTATACATCATTCACAACTTATGATCCGTTTATTTTATAGAATTAAGACTTTAGTGGTGATCAGTCACTAGAACTTTAGTATAAACCGTTAGAACGTTAACGCAAACCGTTGGAGCGTTAGAGCGGACCGTTGGACCGTTAGGACAACCCGTTAGAGCGTTAAGACAAACCGTTAGAAGGCCAGGGC